ACCAACCTTATTTCAGTTCTAGTTAATAATTAAGATTTGTTCCCAAAAGAACATTTCAACAGATCGCTTTATGGTGTCACACATGGTTTTAATACACCAATAGTTCAGATGAAAAGGTTCAGTTTGAAGCGTTTCTGCCAGTCATCATAAAGCAAAAAATCTTCGTTTGGTAAAAGTATACAATTTTTTCCACGTTAGCTTTAATCAGTACTTGTGTTGTTTGCTTTTAAAAATAGAAGATCTGGAATAAATCTTACGTGATGTTATCTGTTAAAACATTGCGACCTACCACTTGACAAAGATGTCAAGCCAAGCTTATCTTTAGTAATGGGACAATATTGTTCTGGAAATAGATTGGTCTACATTATGGTGTTAAGTCAGGTTCATTAGTCCTCATATACACTGTTCTCAAAATCTCAAAGTCAAAAAAATGACCACTTAATGACCAGTCCAAACTTAAACAATGATGTTTGACTAAATTTCTTAGATAAACAAAAAGTTACATCTTTATAGAAATATTCAGCCTTCCTGTATGGGATAGGTTATAGTTGACTTCTATTTTACTTTGAGTTCAACTTCTTACAATAGCTTTAATCATACAAGTAAACCGCATGTTGGGTTGTCATTTTTGTGCACAAACTGTCATAGGATGACAGTTTTTGTTAAAACATCAAACGCGTGCGCCAAAATTTATTATTAAGCCATGTTATTTGTCACACATAAACGAGGTAACCGAGTCATAGCTTCAAAGATATGACCAAAATGTCTTCTGGCGTATTCAAAAGTATTTATCAAAGATAAAAAACATAAACACAGAATGTTGGTCTAGGACATTTATGAGACCAAATCGTCACAAATTAAACAGGTAACTAAAGAATCGGAATGAAACGCAACTACCAACACGAACCAGTCTGCTGAAGCGACTAAACTTCCAAATCTGTAATAATAGTTAACTGGAAACAACATCAACCGATCGAACTGGAAGTACAAAACAACTGTTCTCTGATTTCGGACTCTCCTTATCCCCTTGTGAAGTTTTTACACAGAACACAAACTCTTCCCTCATAAGAGAATGTTGAAAGGTGTCAATATTCCAACTGAATTCCATGAATTATTTGCTCGCGACCTTTCAGGTAGTCAGGGAGTACCTCTTTTAATGTTTGATTTTCTTATACTAGGTTGAAATATTAAACTTGAACACCATTGTTATCATGAACTTGAACAGTTTGAATATGTTTTGAAATAGTAAATAGCCTATAAACGGTACAGCCATTACTTCCAAATCTTCATATTCAAATAGTCCCGTTATGTTATATAGAAATTTACGATAAAGAGTATAAGCAGTTTTCAATTTTCGCGAAATTGCTCACTTAAATCCGTTAGGCTTTAACTGGAGATTTAGGTACTATCATAAGAGTCAAGTTCGTGGGATTTATTGCCTCTGAACTTTATAAAAAATGACAAAACAGTAACAGGTATCTATTGATTTTTTTTAAATCTGGTGATGACTTAGCTATAGATACAATTTACAATTATTTGTATCAATTCCAGTTTTCGTTCCATTGAGAAATGCTGAATTCACACGAAAACACGAGCATACTGGTTTTACAGAACAAAAATATCCTATGTTACAAAAACTAATCGACATTTCAAAAACTCTTATTGTTTAGTTTTGCTTAGGAGACAGGGCAACTTCGTTTCCATCTTTTTTTGCTGATATTTCAGGAATATTAATTCACCTCAATATTAAGCCGAAATATCATTATTATTTACACAATATAAAATACTAGTAACGAACCTCTGAGAATCCACACAAACACCTTGATGGTTGCTTTTCCATTATTTTCAGCTTCATGATGAAATTGTTGATGACAGATGATATATAGTTCCTCTTATTTACATTGCATTATAATAATTTCATCACCCTACATCATTTTATATATTTTAAGACTGAAGTTTTTATCATCAATGAAGTTCAAAAAAATATTACACCCCATCCTAGTGTAAAAAAGCCCTCGGAAATCACAACTATGATCAACTGTTGATTATTATTTTTAAGGTTTGTTTTCGTAAACAATTCACAACGGGTCATTTACTATTTTTAAAACTAATTAGTGTGAATTAGGCCTCGGAAATGACATTAAGATTTTTCCATTTTTAAAAGTACTTAAGTGAAGTCTTTCTCCACGGCATATTTCAAATTCTGTGGCTAAAAGTGGGTTAACATTGTGGAGTAAAAGTCGACATTTCATCATACAGTAAACAATTTGTAAACAAACTAGAGTCTTTTATTGACACAAACTCAAACATATATTCCAGGTGTCCAATTAAAAAGATCATTACTAGCTTTCTAGTAAAATTTCATCATCATAACTAGTTACAGACTGGTATTTAGTTACTGAACTGGACAAAATTTTTGTGCATCCAATCATTAAAACTGATGCAATTCTATTGATGATAGACGATAAAACATACTGCAGATAACAACTAGGTCCAGGTATGATACATCCGCAAGATGTTGTTGACTTTAATTGCTCCCGATCAAACTGGCATCTATTTTATAAAATTTGGTTCCATTGTCACAGAGTCGTGGATTCCAATCTAGTCTCCGATGGCCAGGATAGATGCCAGTTTGCTCACATGCAAGTTAACTGCCAAACAGAGCCATTAATGGCAAGTTGACTGTCCAATTTAGCCATTAATGGCAAGTTAACTGTCCAATATAGCCATTAATGGCAAGTTAACTATCCAATATAGCCATTAATGGAAAGTTAACTGTCCAATATAGCCATTAATGGCAAGTTAACTGTCCAATATAGCCATTAACGGTAAGGTAACTGTCCAATAGAGTCATTAATGGCAAGTAATCTGTCCAATATAGTCATTAATGGTAAGTAATCTGTCCAATATAACCATTAATGACAAGTTAACTGTTCAATATAGCCATAAATGGCAAGGTAACTAATCAATATAGCCCTTAATGGTAAGTGTCCGATATAATTAAGGGGATTGTTAAGAGGTTTCCTAAAACAATTAAGTGTATCGGGGACACTGATAGCATCAATCTGTACCATTTCAACTTTCCATCAGACGTCTGTAATTCCATTTAAACTAAGCGTTTCATGACGTCACAAATCGCAAATTATGCTGCATCGCATAAGGACTTCGCGAATAGTGAGCCCATAAATCGCTTAGTTTTAGTGGAATTGCGAGATCCACAGACGTCTGATTGAAAATTGTAATGGTGCAAATTGATGCTATCAGTGTCCCCGATACACATACAATTCTTAAAAAACATCTTTACAATTTTATGGCAAGTTATGCCCAATATAGCCTTTTACTGTAAGTAATCTGTCCAATATAGCCATTATTGGTAAATAATCTGTCCAATATAGACATCCAGGGTAAGTTAATTGTCCAAATGGCCATTAGCGACAAGTTAACTACCCAATACAACCTTTAATGGTAAGTTAGTTGTCCAATATAGCCATTAATGGGAAGTTAACTATCTAATATAAGAATTAATGGGAAGTCAACTGTCCAATGTAGCCGTTTACGGTTAGTTTACTGTCTAATGCAGCCATTAATAGTACGTAAACTGTCCAATATTCCCATTAATTGTTAATTAATTAGCTATAAATGGTAAGTTAGTTGTCAAATATGGCCATTAATAGCAAGTAAACTATCAAGCCATGTTAATCGTCTAATACAGCCATTAATGGTAAGTAATCTGTCTAATATAGACACTAATAGCAAGTAGCCTGTCCATTATAACCATTAATGGTACATTATCTGTCCAATATAGCAATCAATGGCAAGTTAACTAACTAATATAGCTATTAATGGTAAGTTAACTGTACAATATAGCAATCAATGGCATGTCAACTTACTAATTTAGCTATTAATGGTAAGTTAACTGTCTAATATAGCCATTAATGGTAAGTTAACAGTCCAATATAGTAAAAGATAGCTTGCCAGGCAAGGTAATATACGCCCACCACCAACTGTAAGAAATGATAACAAAATCTTTAGTGGCTTTATCATGAATTTTCAAATCATCTATAAGTCAAGGCAAAAACCTGAAACAGTTCATAAAATTATCATCAAATTCAAACATGAACAATGTCTCATGACTATACATAAGGGCAATAACTCTGTAATTTGCCTAACAGGCAAATTTGACGCGTTTTTATACACCCATATTATAATGTAGTCGTATATTGTCGTCGCCCCTGTCCGTCCGTCCGTCGGTCTGTTAGTCCACAATTGGGTTGTGAACGCAATAGAGACCACAGTTTTTATCTGATTTGAATGAAATTTGGTGTGATCATTTACATTCATGAGATCTTGGACAAGTTCGAATTTGGCTATCTTTAGATGAATGGGTTTTGAGTTATTGCCCTTGATTTATGAAAATCGCGTCAAAATTTGTTTGCGAACACAATAGAGAGTACAATTTTTATCCGATTTAAATGAAATTTGGTATGATCATTTATAATGATGAGATCTTTGTCAAGATTAAATTTGACAATTTCGATCAACGGAATTAGTGTTATTGGTAAAAACGCATCAAAATTTGTTGGCCGCCTTTGATATACTGAAAATGTATCAGGAAAGTGGGCGTATCTTGCTAAGCAACTACTTGTTTTCTAAGTCAAGGGAATTAACTCCAAAACCCTTCACCGACTGTTACCAATTACGAACTCGACTCAGATATCATCAACATATACATGCATACCTAGTTTCATCTAGTGTCTATCGTGCCTACAATCGAAATTTGACGCGTTTTTACTAAGTTAAGGACGGATGGCAGGACGCCCGGACCGACGGACAGGGGCGACGTCAATATACGTCGACATTTCCATGTGGCATATAAAAAATGGTAAGTTAACTTTCAAACATTAATGACAAGTTTACCGTCAAATACAGTGATAAATGGTAGTTAACTTTCCAATACAGCCATTAATGACAATTTAATGTCAAAAATAGTAATCAATGATCAATGATGGAAATATATTTATTTACCAAAGACTTGGTTATTTTCAAATAATGACAAAATAATAACAATGATGATGAAATACATTAATAGTTTGTAGACTACTGGTAATTAGATGATTTGATCTAAGGGTCCATGACTTCTGCACCTACAAGAATAGGATCAGCTGGAACACTAGCAGGTTGATCACCATCCTGGGTCTCCATTGATTCCTAAAATAGAAATCATAGTTTTAAGTATGACAATATAAGTATTAAAACAGAAAAGCAATTACATGGGTCATAGCAAACCCACACCAACAATTTAGAATTGCAGTCATTAAAACAGCTTGTAATTTCAACAAGTGATCATCATGCAATTTTTAACTTAATGTAATTCCCCACAAGAAGCCAATTTAGAAGTCTTCAATTTCTATTCCTATTCTGTTCCTTATAATAGAACATTAAAAACTTACAGCAGGAGCATCAGCTGGTGGTGGTGGTGGTCTAGCTCTTTCTTCACCTTCTATCATTGATAACTAAAGTTAGGTTAAGGTTATATCATCATTATTTGATCTGTCACTTTCTATCTTTGCCAGGACTAATGCTTAAGAACCAGATATAGACATATAGATATAGATTTTTTAAGTTTCTGTCAAAAACTGGCTCTTAAGAGTCTTAAACATCCAAATATTAAACAATAGAATATGTAACAAATATGATCTAGATAAACACATTCACATGATAACTAAATTGAAACATTAAATCAAAGTTATATTATTTGGAACAATTACATGTCCTTTACCTTCAGTTTTAACTGAGTTGTCAACTTCAAAGAATGTCATGTTGTTCTGTTTAAAAGGTGCATGAATACATGACCCCAAGAACTGTTGCGTCAATAAACAATAGACAGATGGACTGCAATTATAACTTTATCATAGAATAATGATCCACAATTAAAGGATACATATCTTGTAACACCATCATCATCATAAATAGCAAAATCTTGGTCTTTACCAACTATACCTATGGAACAGTTCTGAAAATAAATATAGCCTATAAATGTACACTGAAAATAGGTAAGTTGTCTAAAGATCGCATAGTGTGAAACTCATAGTAACAACATGATTAAAGTCCTGTTTTAATATTTATATATCGCTCTATAATTGAGGTATTGAGCACTATTTTAACAGAGAAAATATTTTATCATTGTACATGATTTCAAATATGATGAGTATAACAGCACATTATTTAATAAGTCATAACTGATATAGGATTTTAATCAGTTCTAAATAAGAGTCTTACCTTGTTTGTAAGTTCTATTTCTGAAGGTAAAGTATCACGTAATGATCTCAGAGCATGTTTAACAAGTTCATCTAATTCACCTAGAAGTAGAAGTCTAAATTTAAGGAAAGAAAAAACCCCTTTTCAATAACTTCATATGCCATTGAACACTTATATGTTAGTCCTGCAGGCTTTGCAAAAGAAAATTCCGAAGGTTTCATGTAATCAAGAATAGAACTCCTTTGACAACAAGACTTGATCACAAATTATACTCATTTGAAGAGATAATTTTAAAAAAAAACTTACAGTCAGAAAATTCATCTAATTTTCGTTCTAAATATGTTCTTGCTGATTGTGATCTAGCTCCAATGGCCATAGCTTTACAATCATAATAATTAGCTGATGGACAAGTTTGGTAAATATGTGGTCCCATACTCTACAATAAGAAATATTAAATTATTTCTATAGCTTGGTTGTGTAAGATTTGAAGGACATATAGAAGCGAGGAGCACATATAACAATACACAAGACAATATTATGGAAAATAACACACTTCTTTAATAAGGTAGTGCAAATAACGTTTCAACACAATATACATGTGTCATCATCAGATGTAATGGCAAGAGAATAGGTAGGTAGGTAGATGACAAGTTAACGTTCGCTTCCTGCGGATGCTGATATCGCAAACTAGGTAGTTGTTGGTAGTCGTAGTAGTTGGTAGTTGGAGCGGCAAGAGAATAAAAACATAACAAAATATATACCAACAGGAAACAATATAGAGATTAAGAGGGACAATAGATAAAAGGGTAATAACAAGTGATTAAGACAATAGATAAAAGGGTATAAAAACAAGTGCGGTAACAATGCGAAGTCAATGAGCAGGTACTGAGCAAATATAAGCTAATGAGATATGCTGAGGACGACACTGGGAGGAAAATAGTAGAATGATGGGAAGAAACATGTTGTGATACTTAAATTTCTCTAATGCATCCCTTTAATCAGTTCTATGCGTTTAATATAAGTGGAATTGAGATTAAATGAAGGTATTATGCTCTCTATAAAGATAGCTTGCCAGGCAAGGTAACATACGCCCACTACCAGCTGTCAAAATTTATAACAAAGTCTGTAGTGGTTTAATATGTGCTTTAATAAGATCTCATACCAAGTTTCATCAAGATTAGATAAACCATGTAGCCTCTATTGTGCCTACAAGCCAAATTAGACGCATTGATTTAATTCAAGGGCAATAACTCCAAAATCATTCATCCAATAATTACCATTTATAACTTGAGATCTCATCAATATATACATGCATTACAAGATTCATCAAGATCAGATAAAAAATGCACCCTGTATCATGACATCTTATCAATACATTTTCAAGTTTCATCAAGATCAGATAAAAACTGTAGTCTATAGAGTGCCTACAAGCCAAATTTGACGTGTTTTTACTAACTCAAGGGCAATAACCCTGAAATTGTTCAACCGATTATTACCAATTTCGAACATGCATACTAAGTTTCATCAAGAGGGGATTAAATTTGTAGCTTTCATCAGGCAAACAAAGCAAATTTAATGCATTTTTATTAAGTCAAGGGCAATAACTCTGAAACCGTTCATCCGATTACTACCAATTTCGAACTTGACTGAAATCTTATCAATATCTACAAGCATACTAAGTTTCATCAAGATCAGATAAAATTTTTGGCCTTTAGCATGCAAAGAAGCCAAATTTAACGTGTTTTTACTAAGTCAAGGGCAATAACTCTGAAACTCTTCATCCGATTATTACCAATTTTGTACTTGACCAAGATCTCATCAATATATACATGCATACTAATTTTCATCAAGATAGGATAAAACTTTTTGCCTTTAGCATGCATACAAGCCAAATTAAATCTGATTTACTAAGTCAAGAGCAATTACTCTGAAACTTTTTATCCGATTATTACCGATTTCAAACTTGACCAAGATCTCATTAATATATACCAGCATACTGAGTTTCATAAAGATCAGATAAAAATTGCGGTCTATAGCATGCATACAAGCCAAATTAAACCTGTTTTACTAAGACAAGAGCAATAACTCTGAAACTTTATATCTGATTATTACCAATTTTGAACTTGACCGAGATCTCATCAATATATACATGCATACCAAGTTTCTTCAAGATCAGATAAAAGCTGTAGCATCTATCGAGCATACAACGGACCGACAGACAGGGGCGTATAAAAATGCTAGGAAACCTGTCTATCATCAATTTTTTGCATAAAATATAAAAATTATATACTTACATCATAACCAGCAACTAAGAGACCAACACCAAAAGGTCGTCGTCCATATCTTTGTGTCAGAATTTGAGATTCTAGTCAGATTTAAGGAAATAAAGGAGTATGTAACTTGTATTGCATTGAGTTATCAGCTAATTCCATCTAAAATATTTCTTCTCTCTAATATTTCTCATAGAAATACAATTTTAAATTCTGTAAAGATATATAATTAGAGTTTTTCTATCAGGCGTCAACAAAGTACCTATAACCATGTTTATCATGTGTATCCAAATGGGAAGGTACGTAACTCTAATTATGTCTGGAATAATTGTATACTAAGTTTCATTTAACCAGAAATCCATTTAAATATACTACTTTATCAGAAAGGGAAATATGCAGATAAATTGTTTGAATTATACATATTTTAATTACTTTGAGCAGTTGAGAGGCTAGATTTAAACTGATTTACAACCAATATTATTTTAAAAGGATACTTGAGCCAAGCATGGAAACAAGCCTGCTGACAGGTAATGGTGAATTATAAGCATATCTTGAATTCAAGCATTCTGATCTCATAAAATTACTGAAATAAAGATCAATATAATAGAGTATAATTTGTAAGTTAGTGATTAAGGTATTTAGTAGTCATTCAAATCACTTTTCAAAAAATTTAAACATCTTAAGATTGAGTATTCAGTGAACAATTTTTAAAGAAAGGGGAATAAAGAAAAAATCTACCCCTAATACTGATGTAACCCTACAACTCTTGTAAAAGTCTTTGACAAAATTATTTATGATACCTTAGAGAACGAGCATCAGCTGTTAACCCTGCAATAGCCACACCAACATGATCATCTATACTTAATATCTTCTTCTGATGAGATGAAAGCTCTGATGGCGCTCTCTAAGAGAAATTAACAAAATTGTAAGCTCAAGACACAATCAAATAGATAAACGATCTTTAGACCTAAGTCATAGACAAGAAGTGATTCCATTTTTCGCTCATAAAGGACATCGTTTCAACATGCTAGTATAAAAGAGAACATATAAAAGGGTTAATATTTTTTTAACTGGACATCCAAAGTCTTTACTGAAATAGTAAAATTTTACCTTTAAAGCAGCTAACACAGCATGTGTCTTTGACTTAATACCAACTGTAGCAGAACCTTGTTTCACTGCTTCCATGGCATATTCCAGTTGATGTAATCGTCCCTGAAATATTTAACAAATAATCTAGTTTCATGTAGCTGGTTAAGGCTAGTGCATACTTACTGATTTTTTGATGTAATGCCGTACAATGTTTCGCACACTTACTTCTAGCACCTTCTTACAGAGCTACCGTAAACAATATGTCAACTAGACTGAAAATGAAGTGACAGAGGGGGAGAAAACTTTTACTTTTTTGCACTACTTTTGTCCATGTTGACAATTCACTTATTTTCTTCTGGAATGGATGATGAAGACAGTGATATGTACCAGGAATTCTATTGGATGGCCTTTATCTAGGTCACAACAATTTATCAGGAACACCCGCACACTTGCCGACAAGGCAAGTCAGGACGTCTTTCGATCAAACATGCCAGATATCTACTGTTCCCTCCTGATTTTGTTGTAGGGCTGTCATGGACCAATGTACACTGGTTGATTACAAAAAATCAGCAAGTGTGCGGAAGCCTTTACCAGTACTTTCAGATTATCAAATAACCAGAGTAAGATCATGAAAGGCGTAAATTGCAGTTTTAGAAAAATTATTAGATTTTGACTAGGCTATCAACTATACATAGGAGTAGGACAATAGCAAAAGCTATCAAATTTTAAGCTATCACCAACATTTTATTTCATGGTACTTGTATGACATGACAAAACCAATTTACCTGTGGACTCCATACTGTGACATCATTATCATACTGGTTTCGAAACTAAAATAAAAAAAAAACAAACTCTAAATATGTTTTCTATCAAGACATCAGATGGCCTATGTTGCTTTGATCCCCTTTGCTTGGACTATGTTGCTTCCCTTTTTTTGTCATGATTGATTATTTACCATGGCTTTGTTTTTTGGAAGCTAATAATGGGAATGTACCAATAGTTAGCGACAATAACAGACATGTTTTCAATTACATAGCATTTGCAAAGATGTATCCTCAAAATCAAACGGTGAATAATGAATTAGTTACCATTATTCCAGACAATTTCTTAAGGAACCAGTGAACAAAACGTGACTTGCAATATTTACAAATTTACTGTATCACGGCTGCATTCGATTCCTGGGTAGCAAGGTTCACTCCGGACAATTAACGATTGTGCTGTGGATATGTTGCTTTATCGCATCTAGTTTTCAGAGTTTATCAACATCTAAAACAATTAAAGGAGATGACTAAAGTGTCAAAGGAGTCAACGGCGATGCTAATTAAGGCAAAAACCAGGACATTATTCATAACAAGAACTAGTCAGGAACACAATAATTCTTGAAACTAATAATTCGAATGCACCCAATATATCAAATTTGCCTTCAACAAAAAAGAGCAATCTTTGAAAGAGTTCCCTCCCTTATCATATGTCACATTCGATTCGTTGGATTATATTGTAATTTATGCATTAATTGTTAGGCCAGATGTCGAATAGTCCGAAACATCTGCCTTTATCCCAGCCTCTGATGGATATTTTGACAGTTGACAGTTGTTGTCGGTTGGAGTACTGTCAGAAAAAATAGGCCCTGTTAAATGGGGATTTACCACACCTCCGAAGATGGGTTTTGAATGGCCGATGCGAGATCAGTTTCGCTAGAAAAAAAAGCTTTGATGGAACCGGAGACAGGACATGCTGTAGGGAGAAACTGATGTTATGACTGAACTACAAAACTATTCTTCTTTCCAAATAATAGTATTGGTTTTATATAACAGGGGACATCTGTCAGAGACTGGAATAGAAAAAGATGTTTCCGCCTAGGCGTCGAATTGAACTTAAGAAAAATGAGTCCATCCTATCGCTCGTTTTACGATTGTAGAGTAAATAGAGAAAAACAGCTCCTCTATATTATTCTATATGGCTTCTTATCAATCCAGTTTTCCTTTTTGGACAAAGAGCGTCATTCTGGCAGAAACTTTTCAGGATCCCATACAGGACGGGTTCCGGTACGGTTGAATAACCATATAGATGTAAGAGGAGTGGAGGTACGATACACGCACGGCCAGTGGCAGTACACACAGACCTGTTGTTACGGTAGGGCCCCAGCAAGAGAGACTTAAGCCGCATCAAAACTTTCTTCACTTCAGCAGAGATTGGTTCGTTCATCTAGATTTTGATACGTTTTTGGCACCTCAAAATTGTCAAAACCGGACAGTGTTTTGGCAAGGCACCGTGCTAGCCTTATCTTAACACCCGACTTAGATATTAATATAGATAAAAACAAAAATAATCCTAAGTACGAATAATTGGATTTGGTAGTACGCATAATGTAAATGCAAGTCAAATTGTCATTCTATACTGCTTGAATAAGAATAATTTTGGTAACATCCATTGCCAAAAGAAAATTGGGTGGGGGGCAGACCCAGGCATCAAGGGGCTTCGGGCCTCGCCTAGGAGATACACTTACTTTGTGAGTCATTTAAATGGAAACATTACAAATGAGACCTACAGTGATACGATTAGTGGACAGTTTTTCGAAACAACATCTTATCTAGTTTGTTGGATTTTCATGTGGGCATACAAATTTGTCAAGATACTAATTCGATAATATCAGACCTATATATTTTCATTTTATACATCATATATAAAATCAAATATAAACGTTGTGGGGTCACCTCGTGATTGATAAAATCTAAAAGGATGAAAGATATTCATACATATCGTTATTTCAAGGTCTAATTTTAACGAGAAATAGTACAAAAAGTCCAGAAGAAGATCAAAATAGCGTAACAAATTGGATTGGTTGGCTAATAAACATTCATTATATTGCCCCGAGTCTCAGCAAAACAAAGCAGAAAAATTCAAAATAACAAACACTATCAGAGAAAAAATGTCAGCTCCAAATGATGACGTAAAATTGGAGGGGTTGTTCTCGGTTACTTGGAGTTCGGCAAGTTGGACAGGGTTTAAAGACAACCACAGATTCATTCTGTTAGGAAATATGTTTTGCTTTGATTGGATAGCAAAAGATAAATCTTGATAGCTTTTACTGGTGATATAACTTGGCCATTGTTCAACGTGAAGTCCATTTGGGTTGCTGAAAAAAATGAAGGTATATTACAGTGGACATATTGGAAAGTTAAAAGAATCGATTGACACAATGAATGGCGTGGATTTTTAATTTCATTGACAAGCAAGTCAATACAATTATTCTAGTACATTATCGAATGTTATTTAATATAAACGAACTAAATACTTCAAAGAGGTAAATAGTATTTACTAAATACCATAAACGGAATTAATAAGAAAAATATTGTTACCCATGCTTAGCAAAATTTGTCCAATAAATCTGTACTTTATTAGAAAAGGCCACCTCCTGTTGTGTATATTGTCCTGGGGCCAAAGATACCATTGGACCAAATACAAAAACCAATTCACCAGCATGGACCACACCAACAAACCATGGATACTGGCGAGTTATTGTACTTGATGATAAAACTTGTGTAAAGTAGTACTGATATGTTGTTTGACCAATGGCATGAGTCGAGTGTTGATCTAAAACAGCTACAGTTGGTGCCAGAAATGACATATCACCAAACATATTCACTACTTCTCGACCCTGTTCAGGGAGACTAGTTCCAGAATACATGTGGCAGATACGACTAGCTATAGAAACAGAACCATTGTAATAATCTCTAGCTAAACTAGTGGTGATATTATCACACAGAACACGGTTGGGTATACCCAGTCGTAAATTTATGTTTAAAGCAGTTTGATAAACTGATAAGGGGTACAGAATGAGGACACCTTCGCCACTGTTAGTTCCAGCCATAACATCAACATGATAGAAAGGAAGACTTCTATCAGAGAGCAGTTCTTCGGGTGTCTTTGTTAAAAAGTCACCATCAACAACTGGACCAATAGGTAATCGGAATGCAAGAAAACTTGTTCCTGCAGCTCGGGATGATGCTGAAAGGAGTTCTGTAGTACTCTTCGTCATCAAACATGATTTTACATTTGACGAGGTTTTAGTTGGGAAACAACCAATGTCTATGAGAAAACTTTTGGAAAATGATACAGGATCATAAGCTAATGTTCTAGGAGATAAAGTCACACCACTTTCACTTAAAGCTCGTTTAAATAAACCTTGATTCCAACGAGAAACTAGATGTAAGCCAACGCTATAGGCACCTGCTGATTCACCAAAAATTGTTACTTGTTTTGGATCACCACCAAATGATGCAATATTTTGACGAACCCATAAAAAGGATAATCTTTGATCCCAAAGACCATAGTTTCCTGGAAGTCCATATTCTTTTGTGGATAAGAATCCAAGAACATCTAAACGATAATTTATCGTAATAACTATTACATCGCCAGTTAATGCCAAAAGCGAGCCATCCTGTGAGTGACCTTGACCTTGAGTATAACCTCCACCATGGATGTACAACATGACTGCCCTTGAAGCACTTACGTTCACATTATATGGAATATAAATATTCATCACTAAACAATTTTCACTCATTAGAAACTTCGGCTGTCCGGAATTTTGAACACATGCTGGTCCATACTCCGTGGCGTTCAGTATTCCACGCCAAGGCAAGACAGGCTGTGGTTTTTCAAACCTCAAAACACCTATCGGTGGTTGTGCATACGGTACGTTTAAAAACTGGAATATGGATCTATTGTCAATAAAACGAACTCTTCCACGTAAATAACCAAGTGGTGTATTAAGCACCACAGATGTTCCAATTTGAAAAGAAGACAAAACCAGAAAAAGAAGACAGATATTCATTGTATATGATTTGAATCTAAACGTCACCATGCTGATAAAAAAAACTGTGTCATAACTTAGCTCAGTCTAATTTACATACTTTAACCCGTCATTGATAAAGAAGGGGAAATATTTCTGTTGTCTATAATGAATTATCTACTAGTGATCTTATGGAAAAATCAAAATGTCAACGTTTCATATCCGTGTTAAATATCTCACACCGAATGTCCAGTATTGGCTCTCATTATTCTCGACGTTTTTTGAAAGGTCATCTTAATTTCTCAAACTGTTGCACTTTATGAACCTTTCATTGGTTAAACCAATTGTACTAGAACAAATATCCTTAATTTCGAGTTGATTTAGATGCCTCACATATACGTGTACCGGTGGGTTCGTTTTGCCCAACTTATCGCATTGTGCCCAAATGCACAAAAACGACTAAATGTTTGTTTCACATGAAACGAAACATTTTCATCTGTTGCACCACGTCGATTTTTCTTTTATTTATAATTTGGACCTGTTAGGAAAATCGTAACTTTAGTTTTATGGTAAAATCTGTACAAATAAAGTACAAGTACAAACGATCAGAACCGTAATACAAAATACATAAATCCATAAAACGAAACAAGAAAAAGTTCAATAAATAAAATTGGCCCACGTGCTAGAAAAAATGGCAATGGAAGAGTCTGGAAGTTGAAAATCTTCTGAATAGTAAATCAGAATTATCAAGCGAGGGGAAGTTTAAAATTCTCGTATTAGATGTGCCCTATAATTCGGTAGTGGCTCAACCCTCACTGGTTCCAGATAAGTCCCAGAATGTCCTGGGTAGAAGATGTGGTTGATTGGCTCCACACTACCGTCGGCAGTTGGGGACAAAAATCGACGAACCTGCGATTATTTAGAAAAATGACAATGCAGACAACGGGTGGATCCAAAGGAAAAAGCGGTGAGGGATATATTTTGAAAACTCAGTATTGTCATCATAATAGCGAATGTTAAGCCTCTGTAAAGAGACACAGTACGAAAGTCTTGAAACTTTTTCCTGGAAAACCGCCAAGTAAGTTCCTTTTACATGTCAGTGGTTGAGGTGGGCAAAAACCCGTTTTGTGACATCTGTCAGGACCGGTGCGAAGAGTATCTATACAATGCTCCACTAAATAAATAGCCGACAGCAACCTAAAAACAAATTCTCATAAGCCGGCAATGAAAATTTTTAGATTCCGCAATACTTATTTTTTATATGTTTTACGAGATAGGGTTCACGGTCTGGGTATTCATATATGGACCCATATTGCCCCTGGCCATACGTTCACATTAGGGCCCACATGCTTCAGATTTTCAATTGATCTGCCGACTGGATGCTTTCAGAGTAAATCATAAGTCCTAATGATGGAATGGAGGAACACGATATTGATGTGGCTATTGAATAAGTTTAACAGATTACAGTACAATTGATATAACAGAAAAATTTTTTATTTTGCAGTCGGCTTTATATAGTTTCATACGTATTATAATCCGACTATTCTGTACAAGATTTTGTAAAGATTGACCCCACATAACTCACACACATAATAAATTGATATGAGATCGAATAATGACAGTTAACTGTAATAGTATCTATCAATATGTCATAAGCAATGAAGCGTGAGATTTCTCTTTTATTAATCAAATCACAGGTCAAAACTTCCTATCATATTAATATTTTCTATTTCGTTTCAAGGATCAACCTGAACATTCTTGTTCTATGTAGCCTACTATGGTTAAGACACAGGAGTACATTCTCATCAATGGATATCCACATTTTAGGATTTTTAAAGTGACTGGAATATAAGTGCTAATTCTATAATCAATTAATATCAATGGATCGTGTAAAAGAAACGTCCACCAACATTTCAAAAATCCACGTTGTATTTTTCTTTTCATTCATTATTGTTTTAACTCCCGGTAAGTTTTGAGTCATATCATCTATGTGTGTATTGCAAATGTTTTGACTAAAGAAAATGCTTATAAGTAAATTACTGCTAGCTATATAGCTGAACACAATAATGTAGTATATTTATTTAGAAACTTAATCGGGCAAATCTCTAATGCCCCTGTGTCCCACAAGGTACCACAATACAGTCGAGGGGAATGCTTAACTTAAAAACGGAAAAGCCCACCCGCTGCTGTTTTGTGTAACACGGAAATTGTAGAATATCTAATAATGTTTTCATGAATTCATTTATGGTTAAGATTTATATAGATACAAAAAGTTGTCATAAGTGTAATTGTGAAAATACAAAAACAACCTATCTTAATTTGGATTGAAGCAATTCCAAAAAAATATTTCTGACACTAAACGTATCGATATCCGGTCCTTGTATCCCGTTCGTGGAACGATAATTGATCAACCCGCTAATATTGGGCGGAGGACACACTTCCAGATATAAGGTTCTTTAATACGTTTTTGTGGTTATTTCTTCAGCTTCATCACTCGACGGCCTAAAATGTAATTTAATGAATGGCAGTATTTTTACATTTAATTGTCCTGATGCAAGAATTTGGGTGAACTCGATGGATTACTATGCAGTTGAAAATGACATATGTTCCCGAAGACTTGGCTGTAATAAAACATTATCTGGTGAAGAAGATGGAGAAAATATACTATGTCATGGGCAGTATGGTAAATGTACACAACTCCTTGACAACACAATACTTTATGGCATTTGTCCCAATGTTACAGGACTAGCTGTAGAAATAAATTATGATTGTACACCAATTGATGCTGGTAAGGCTTTTAATCCTTTATATCATTGTGTAATTGTTTTTTTTTTATTTAAGTCTGACATAATTACTATATATCCAGTTATTTCATTAGAATTGAGAGATATTTCAAGCTCATTACAGCTTATTTGAGCTCAATTTCAGCTGTACTTTTTGAAATGAAAATCGGATTTTTAGGTCGGATTAGACATAGTTGTTAAGTTGCCAATATGGTAGCATTTGCCATTTGACGTAATGATATCTGTGTTATCTGCATGGGATAATGTTTTAATATGGCGATCTGACAATAATGAGATTGCCACTTCTGCTAATAATGTTTTTAAAAAGAGATCCAGATAACCTGATAAAGCAAATATTTAGACAGCTATATCCTTTTCAGAAGTAATTGTGTCTTATTTTGTAGATGTTCCCATGGAAAAGGTCGAATGCCCATTGTCAAACGATATATTGAGACCACATCTAGACTGTCCTGATAACTCTGTTATACATGTTCATTCTGTTGGCTATTGGAAAGTATCAGAGAATCGAACCTGTCTGGAATCTAAAGATCAATGTTATAAATGTAAGACTGGTGTTGAAGATTTATTGTATAAAAAATGTCGTGGAGAAAACGAGTGTATGCCAACTTTACCAGAGTCAATAAATGATGGTCTTGGATGCGATTATCAGATACCGAACATTGGTGCTGATATCAAATATTCCTGTTTAAATAGTAAGTCAAGATTGTAATTTAACATGAACATTTGTAGTTGTAATAGTTCAAAGTTATGTCGTTAATAGAAATTTTATTTTCAGATTTCATTAAAAAACCATAAAAAATATAATTAGGTCCCGACAAGGCGTGCTTGACCAAAACTTATGTAACACAACGTTGTACGCCTTTTTGTTTCAGATGAAAGCATGTATGACGTTTGTGATTCATTAGAATTAGAGGTACCCAATAATACATCAATGTATTTAATAAGTAGAGAATATATCAATAAACCTGGAGTATATGAGGAACAGTTTTGTAGATGTAAGGCAACAAGTAAAGGAATGGATGTGAAACTTTTATATTATGATATGCCACCAGATACAGTTGGCAAAAGAAGTCAGTTGATTCTCTCTGACACCGTCCAAAGACTGAATCTCAAATTGGCGGAAATAGTAGATGCCGAACCCTTCCTAGAACCAAAGACGAATCTGACGGTCGAATATATACATAAAAATATCAGCAACCTACTTTTCTTGATAGAATTTAAAGGTAACAATTTAGAAACGGTTTCATCGATCGACGGAAATGTTTAGTTTAATGCCATAGTTTATATATATTCTTGACGGTAGCTTAATTTTATATGATTTGCATATTTGTATCAAAGACGGATTTTAAGTTTTTTTTCACTCACTCACGACACCCAAGTTGGCTGATTTATATAAGTTTTATTACATTATGCAATATTGATAAATCTTTTTAGCTTATGAAAGTATCTTATTTTTAAGCTCTGAATGGAAATTTGATATTAAAATGTGGAAATCCATCACCTATCATTGTTCCTGATTCATCTACTGCTTCCTCAAATGGATTGGTTACTGGAACGCCCATTGTTGTTACAGGCAAGATCATTTTATTATCAATAATTGTCCACTTTCATAAATTTTTCAGGATAACCTATCGATATGATACGACTCGTCAGAACAAAACCACACAACGCTACGAACCTTTAAAACCTTTTGTTATTCTGGTAGCTTTCCCAGAAGATTTTATGGATGACGACTTGTATTTAAAAATATGGTATTGTTTAATATTAAGCGAATATTATATCTTCTTACACATTTCATCAAGTTTCACAAACCTTTTCATTTGACTTTTTCAGTGAGTGCCTCAACAGACAACTCAAATGAGGGCGGGTTAGTTCAGGACACTGGTACCAGTCAACTGAGAGGTTAGTGACCCTTTTTTTGTTGGTTTTATCTGTATCAATTGCTCCTTAAACGTTAATTAAAGCTATAGCAGTCTACTTTATCAGTTTATAGATCTCAATTTCATAAGTTCAGACCATTGTCACTTCATGGGTCATTAGAAGATCCATTTAGAGAATATAATTTTGACGACTAGGTCACATAATGTTTGTTGCTCAAAAGAGACTTTCTTCAGTTTGAAAAAAAATACTATATTTGGTATTTTAGGTACTATTATTTTTATTCCAGATGAAGATATATTAATCATTGGTATTGTACTTGGTCTATTAGTTTTAATAGCCTTCATCATTCTGGTTATAGCACTCATTATTAGGTAAATAATAGCTTTTTTTTTCATTTGAGAACATATGAATAGAATTCAGAATCAATGATGAACCAGGTACCTAAATTAAAGGGATTGTAAGGAGGTTTTCTAAAAATCTGTAGTGTATTGGGCACACTGATAGCATCAAGTTGCACCATTCCAATTTTTTGTCAGAAGTCTGTGGTTCCTGCAATTCCACTAAAACTGACGCCACTTTCGCAAAGAGCCTTATATGATACATGCATAAACAAATTGTACGATAGTGGCGTCATTTAACTTTCAGTTTTGATAGAATTGCAGGAACAACAGACGTCTGAATCGTGTTCTAGAAACGAATGCTGCTAATGTAAGACAATGGAATTTTTTCTTGTTCATTTATTGACCCAATGATGTTATAATTGTTTACAGGAGACGAAGACAGTATAAAACAGACGAAGAAGAATCTGTATATTCAGGATTAGATAATCCAGCATTTCTACACCAAACCTACACCATACTGGAAGGTGATACAAAGAGTGAATCATCAGATTTTATATCTGATCCTCAGAACCAAACATCAATTCCTATACATCATGATGGGCAAGAACGTTTGGGTGATATAAGGGAAATAGTTCAATCCGAACATATTGAAAATAATGGTCTCAATCGCATCGGTCCCAATGATATGGGTAGCATTCCTGAAAGTATTCCCGAGGTTAATGAACCATTAGACAATTACGATCCAAATTATATGCAAATAGATAACTTCCGGGAATCTGAACCATCTACTTCTGCATCATATTTGTTAGTAGCGCCACCTGTAGAGAATGTTGAATATGCAAAAGTGAACAAGATTAAGAAAGAGAAAGTACAAAATGGGAGTTTATTTGACAATTCATTTAGTAACATTAATCCACCACAAATACCTGACAAAACCTATACAGAGGAGGAAATTTCTAACTATCGTCAAGAAAAGTTAAAACCATACATAAACATTAGTAATACTCCAAAAATAGAGGATCAGAAAGCTGACCAACACAACACCAATTACGAAGGCGAGGATGAATTTCCGTCAATTCCAGTAAACTCGGATGTGGTTATTTTGCAGTCCATCAGTGATAGTCCAAAACACGACGATGACGAGTCTGTTTTGTCTGGTAATGATCTATCAACTGTTCCAGAAGAAGACGAAAATTTAGATATGACTTCTTCATTTCCTGATGTTTCTAGTGCTATTGAATCTCCACCACGACAATTTCCTCGACAGTCATCTTATACAGCAGTGCCATTTTTATATTAAAGCTCAATTTAATCGGTCAAAAGTAATTTAATCTGTTGACAATTGTTGTAAAATCCTAAGGCGCGTTGAAGGTCAAAACAGTGTTTTGGTTTTTAATCATTTGTCTTCGCTTTTTCTAAATCATTTTTATGAAAACATATTCGTCTTTGTATTATGAAATTTCATTGTTATATTTCAAGTATGAATAAAGGTCAATAATAAGAACGCGGCCTGCGTTGTCTTATTAGTCTTTTATCATATTTATAGTAAAGAATTTTATCGACTGGTCTTTAAATGGTACAAAATCGTATTGAGTAGTTAATCATTCTGCACAAAGTACTTTAACTACATCATATCATGATTCTATGGTGTTTTTTTTTTCTACACAATGGTCTCTATGTATTTTTTCTCTGTATACGTGAAATATTGTGGAAAAAGGTTTCATAAACCACAATAAGACTTTATAAGGAACATGAATGTTATGAAAATTTGATAGGTATATGTGAAGTCAGGTGGTGTATATAGAAAACAGGCTTTAATAAACAATATCTAGAGATTAGTAATAATAAGATTATTATCGCTTGTATTGTTTAACTAATCAAGTTTATAGTGGGTTATTACATGACTTTTGTTTACAAGGGATTTGTGTTTCAATCCACGGTATCGATGGAGAATTCAAACATTGTGTCAAGAAATCGCCATGTTCGTTTAACACTAATCATTTTCTAAAGAATGAACAGTACGAATTAACAACACCTCTCGGTTCTGTATTTTAAGGATAACATTCACATTAAAATTTAGACTATGGATTATTTAGACTAGTGATTACAAATTTTCAAGTGGGAGTTCTAATCAAAAGCCACATTAGTTCCTTTGTAATACGGGAATTACTGTTTAGACCAAACAAAGTGTCATAATTGATAGTGCTAGATAAAACAATGACAATGTTTCAAAGACGAATACGTCTAGATGATGCGTTAACATTACCACCGTTTAAAAATAGTAAAAGTTTACGAGAAATACACTTATTACAGAACACAATATATTGCCGTGATGGTAAACAGCGACTACCAACACCGGACAAGCTGGCTATCATGGAGTTATCAACCAGTTTTCAAAAAAGAAGGTTGGGAAAACAACAACGTATTCTTACTGATATAACTAAACGATGTCGAGAACAAGATATATCAGACCTATCTGATGCTTTGTCGACCAAATGTAAGTTAAAAGCAGATAGAGAGAAGAAACACATCATCACAAAGAGACCATTGTCTGATCCTTCTCCCAACAGTCGCACAGAAACAGCTTATAAATCCTTCCCAGTACGAAGAATATTCAAAAAAACACGCTATGATTTGAATCAAAGACAATTACATCATAAACAACCTCGTAACTTAAATAGTGGATTCCACACCGTCAGATCATCTAGAACTTGTGTTGATGGTTCCCAGGGTTCTCCAACAAAGACAGGCGACCTTTGGGCAGAACCGACATTTTGTTCTAAACCTCTTGAAGCGGAGAGAAAGACCCGAAATAAAACAGACCCCTGTATAACACTAAAATCCACAAATGGTACTACCCGAGAAAACACAACAACTGACATTTATAGTGATACCAGACAACATTGATGGTAGTGACAATATTTGTAACCATACAATGACAGTGTTGGTGAGATCTGACTCTAATAATGTTGGTATAGCATAAATGTTGACCCAAATATAACACTGACCATAATAGTAATGTTATCCCATGACATTAATGTATGTTTATATTCACAATGCATCAGCAGAGCCAGTGATATCTTCCAGTTTGAGTGGTAGTAGAACTTCAATAATGTAGTGAAGAACAGTTCCAGTAAAATCTGACTAATAAAGTAGAATTATGTACAGATGAACTTGATACATTTTGAAATTGTTATACTCTGGTGAAATGAAGTTCATACTCGATTTTTTGAGTGCTTTTAATGTTAGTATGCATTTTACATCTATAAGTGATAGTCCCAATATACCAGATGATATGCAGCATTGTTAGCATGGCATAGATATGGACAATGTTTAATGCTGATGTCAGCATAACATTGAAAACAGATTTTGTTTCAGAGAGAACTCTAATTAGTAAATATGTAAATATGAACCTGATCAGGTCTGAGATCGAAAAGTTATTGATTACTAACAGACTTTTACTTTATTTAAATTGATTCAGTTAATATTGAAATTAAATCTTATATCAAGTGGCATTTCTTTATTTTGAAAAGCATTGTGTTATGGTCTGTATTGTGCATTTTTTTCCCAATAAACCCAGATTTTGCAATTGAGGATTCTTTGCCTCAGCACAGTCCAATGGAATGACCTTCAACATTCTTTCATATTTTCACAATTTCAACCATCAAGTACTTGACCAAATTTAAATACAAAAATTCAGAAACAGGATTTAGTTGATATCAATTGAGCACCATCAAGTAACTATAATCCATGTAGGTCCAGCTGGTTAGTCCCTATGTATCCAGGCTTATCATGTCATCTTCACAATGTCAAAATATTATAAACCTCATTTTATACCTTGACTGTAATAGCCACCTTTCTTGTATTGTGAAGTTTTACATTGCATGTCTGAAATTTTTTAATTGTAACTGATTTTCCTTAAAGGCCTATTCCCACATTGATTTTCAAATGCCATTTTATTCATCTTAGCTTATCAATTGATATTTATAAACATTAACTAGTTTGTGTAAAATCTTAATTCTCTATGACAAAGCACAAACAAAAAAACAACTGAAAATATACATTTACTAACACTAAATAACAGAACACAATTTTATGGTACACTACTCCTAGTATGCCATAAAATTGTGTTTCATTGTCAAATGTGTCAGAAATGGAAGCAAGAAAAGACATCTCTCTGCACATATATCTGATCATATATGAAATCAAACACTAAAGTCATCTCCCTTTTATTAACAATAAATTATATACAAGTTATTAAAGCTGTGCAGCTTTCCCTATTCATCAGTTGTCATATCTTCTTTTACTCCCTGTGTTTTCACTTCAAGAGGTTTTGGAGCAATATATGATCCCATGCCTCCTGCTCTGTCAGCTTCTTCTTGTGTATATGGTTCAATGGATAAGTCCTTCAACCTATAAAAGTAAAATTTAACATGAACTAAACTGATAAATATATAAGGGTTGGCAAGTGGAACCCTGAGTGAGGTCTGATTCTAAACATAAACATGCAGAGTCCTATTTATTTTCAGGTAGATCAAACAGTCATAGAAACTGTATGCTAGTGTTGAGGTGAAATGAGAATTCACCTGATTGTCTTAATTATGGAATAGTAAGCTTATATGATATATGGTACCATACTCAATTAACAAAAGCATTTAACAGTATGTATTTCGCAATGCCTAAGTTTACAAAAGACTCAACTACAAATAAATTACCTTCTTTTGTGGGGTTTACTTCTAAAATGTTTATTCAATGTTGAATTACTGATGAAATATCTTCTACAATGATAAAAAAGTATTTCTTTGTTAAACCATATGGCCTGGATGAAAATGTGTGACTTTTACCTTGATAAATATCATATTCAAACCCTCCTTCTCCAACTGAGGGTCTGAACAACCTTATTTTCAGAGAAAAGGCCAATATGAAGCAGTATATCATATAGCCATATCACTCTAATGCAATTTTAACTCCTGACTGGACTGGAGTGAGTAGGTCACAGTCTATGACTGTCACTATGCATCAACTTAACTTGGCTATACATAGTCCGATATACTACCTTTATTCCAGCCTCTGATGGGAGTCAGAAGAAAAAGACTCTGTTAAATGGGATTTCTACACCTCCACATAATATTGAATAATTTTAAGATGATTGTAAATTAGTGTTGGGCATCACCATATATTTCCTTTTGTTAGTAACATGTGACTCTGTGACCTTTGAACTTTTGGCTGCGCACGCAGTTTTAAATGCTAGGCCCAGATCACTTTACCAAAATAAACTTTGATGGAACCGGAAACATGATATAAATGGTGTAGGGAGAAAATGATGGTTTGTCTGAACTACAAAAATATTTATCTTTCCAAACATAACTGGGTTTTGCAGAACCGAGGTATCTAAAAATGTTTAAAAGCCCTGCACCTGCGCAGATGTGGAATGTCCTCATTTAACAGGGCTTATTATTTCTGTCTCTACACCAGCTGACCAAATAGCTATCAGAGGTTGGAATAGAGACAGATGTTTCCGTCTAGGCTATACATTGAAGTTTAATCTTGCAAAGTTACAGTGTTGTATAATAAAACAACTATTTACTACTTACGAACAATGTAAACAGTAATGTTGAGCAGCACCAGGTACTTCATAATCAACATCTTGCTTCAACATTTTATCAGCTTTTTCTGGCTTCATATCATCGTGTATCTGATCCAAATCTTTTATACGACGTTTCGTTTTGCCCTTTTTAGCCCAGGGATGATTACCTTTATGATTCCGCTTTCTACCCACACATCCCATTTTGAAATAAAATGGTCACAATATTTCTAGTTAGGTTATTATTATAAGCGTTCTGGTAAGATTATTCTGATTTGTTTACAAAATTTGTACACATGGCCGGAAGTCACGTGTTATATAGAAAATATACATTCGAATCACTTCCCTTTCTTGTATTTACGAAAAAATATAAGCTGCTTACAATATAAACGTCCATAAAAAAAACTTTGAAGAAGCTTCTCTCTGATCTGAAGTCGAAAGTATCCTTGTTGTTCCCAATGAGTCGCCATTTTCGGTGGGTGATTTGACTCTAATTTAAATAGTTTTCAGAAGTGGCCTCTGCTACTAGAAATATACGAAAATTGCATAAAGAAAGCCGTTAAAAACACAATAAATGTAACTTAAATCATCCATTTTATGCAATTTGAATTTCACCTTTTGTTTTTTCTTAAAAACTTAAATTTTTAACTTAGGTTATGTGATAATTCATGCAATTTTTAATTTAACCTAAGTGATAATTTGGTGATAATTCCTGTAATTTTTATTTAAAAAACTTTAATTATCAACTATAAGACTTTTTAAAATTTGAAGTTAATATGTTAATATTTTGCCTGTTTCTTCAATACTTTTTTTTCATTTCAACCCCGCCACTGACCAGGTGTGCCTTATTGACTGCCAAATATTAGTGTGCCCCAAAGAGTGTGCCTACATAACTTTGTGCCTATATATGACCTGTGCCTAAATTAACTTAAAAACAAAATGTACCTTAAGTATCGTGTCTAACTGTCTTGTGCTTAAATGACGCCTTAACCTTTGGATTGGCTTAAATTTTAAACCCTGTTTGAAACAGGCCCACAGCTAGAGGGGGGTCAGGGAAGACCCCCTAAGAAAATGGAATGTAGGTAATTAGGTCACAGGTAAATCGGTCACCGGAAATTTGGTCACAGTAAAACGGTCACACGGTAATTTGGTCACAGTAATAAGGTCACACGGTAATAAGGTCACAGTAAAAAGGTCACACGGTAATTTGGTCACAGTAAAAAAGTCACATGGTAATTTGGTCACAGTAATAAGGTCACACGGTAATTCGGTCACAGTAAAAGGGTCACACGGTAATTTGGTCACAGTAAAAAGGTCACATGGTATTTTGGTCACAGTAAAAAGGTCACATGGTAATTTGGTCACAGTAAAAAAGTCACACGGTAATTTGGTCACAGTAATACTATCACATAGTAATTTGGTCACAGTAAAATTACCCATTTTCAGTGGTGTTGGTCATCTTATTCACATCAACCGCTTGTAGTTGATAACTAGATTCAATAAATGGTGGAGGACGGGCAATGTCACAACCTAAGTAGGTTCGTGACTTTGAACTTGACCTCCAATGACCTTAAAAGTCATTGTGTTTGTCTCTTCGTCCCATGGGGGTTCTTTGGACTAATTGCTCTGTCCAAATGCGGTGTCATGAATCCTCCAACACTCCGACACAGTCCGACAAGACATTTGAGACTTGATATTCGCAAATTGAAAAGCACGTTTTCATCACACTGGCTGCAATCTTGACTACGTTTTCGAATTTACCATTGAATGTGGAATTCATATTTCCGCAGAATT